ATGATCCTGTCAAAGTGAAGCGCTTACTTCTCCCTACCAAGTTTTCTGGTTCTAATGATGGAAAGAAGGTCTCCAAGTCTGAGGAATCATCCCCGAGTTTAATGAATTTGTTGATGGGAGTAAAAGTATTGCAGCAGGCTATTATTGATTTACTCCTGGATATAATGGTTGAATGTTGCCAGCCTTCAGAAGAAGGCTCTAATGATGATGTATGTGATGCAAACTCAAAGGCTTCTCCAGGCGATAATGGGGCCATATCCCCTCTACATTTTGAAAGGGACAATGGAGCAACAGAGCAAATGGAGCACCCTTTGTTTGAGAGATTGGATTCAGTAGCCAGTGGAAGTGTAAATTCTGCTGCTGTTCAAAGTACAAGGACGAGTACAGGTATGGGCACAACTGAAATTGATGTGCATGAGAAGTTTATTCCTGGACAGCCTACATGTCCACCCGAAACTTCTGCTCAGGGACCGTCTGAAACAGCTTCTCTCCGCTCGAAGGTAATTTTTCTTGCTCTTAAAAAATATTATACTGATTTGCTGAGAGTTGGATGAGTATGTTTTTGATTTCTTGTTTCTTCTTTTTCAGACTAAGTGGCCTGAGCAATCTGAGGAGCTGTTAGGACTCATTGTAAATTCCTTGAGAGCACTGGATGGAGCTGTTCCTCAAGGCTGTCCCGAGCCAAGACGAAGACCTCAATCTGCTCAAAAGATTGCTCTTGTTTTGGATAAAGCTCCTAAGCATTTGCAACCGGACCTTGTCGCTTTAGTGCCCAAATTGGTTGAGCCTTCCGAGCACCCTCTTGCAGCTTCTGCGCTTCTTGAAAGACTTCAGAAGCCGGATGTGGAACCGGAGTTGAGGTTACCTGTAAGATAATCTTCTTAAGTGCTCTATCTCATTCTTGTATGGTTAAATTTTGTCCTAATCCTGTTAAAGTTCTCTATAGTAACCATCAGGTTCCTTAGGTTTTTCGTTTCTCCCGTTTGCCTGAAAGAATTTCTGTTCCATAATTTGTGACTTTCATTGATGTTTTTGAAATTATCATTAGGTCTTTGGTGCTTTAAGTCAATTGGAGTGCAGCAGTGAGGTCTGGGAACAAATTTTGTTTCAGTCTTTTGCACTTCTGGCAGAGTCAAATGATGAACCTCTGGCAGCTACAATAAATTTCATATTGAAGGCTGCAACTCATTGCCAGCATCTTCCAGAAGCCGTGAGTAACTTTTTTATATAACTTTGGGGTAATTTCCTTGTGGCAATGTACTTGATTTAATTTATGTATTTAATGCTGTCTATTATTCCTCACTTTAGGTCAGGTCTCTCCGTGTAAGGTTAAAACAACTGGGACCAGATGTTTCTCCTTGTGTTCTCGACTTTCTGACTAGGACTGTACATAGTTGGGCTGATGTTTCAGAAGCTGTACTTAGAGATATTGATTCCGATGATGATTGTGGTGTAAATTGTTCTTCATTGCCTAACGGGGTGTTCTTTTTTGGTGAAAATGGCCCCCCTTCGGAAATCTTTACTGTGATGAATGAGCGTTCATTCTGTGGTAGTCATCATTTTTCTGATATCTACCTCCTTATTGAAATGTTATCCATACCTTGCCTTGCTGTTGATGCTTCTCAGACCTTTGAGAAAGCTGTATTTCGAGGGGCCATAATGGCTCCATCTGTAGCAATGGTCTTAGAAAGACGTCATTCTCAAAGATCTGGGTATAATGCAAGATATCTTGCTGAAGCATTGCAGCACACAGATGCAGTAGTAGAGGGAGAGGCCAATGAGCAGCTCATAGCCACCCAAGATGATTTTACCACACTTCTTGGTCTGGCAGAGACTTTGGCACTATCCGCTGATTCTCGTGTAAAAGGGTTTGTGAAGTTGCTTTATACTATTTTATTTAAATGGTATGCTGATGATTCCTATCGTGGGAGGATGCTGAAGAGATTGGTTGAACGTGCAACCTGTAGTGCGGATACTACTAGAGAATTAGATTTAGATATGGAAGTCCTGGTACTTCTTGTCTGTGAGGAGCAAGAAATCATAAGACCAGTTCTTAGCATGATGCGGGAGGTTGCTGAACTTGCTAATGTTGATCGTGCAGCACTTTGGCATCAACTATGCTCTAGTGAAGACGAAATTGTCAGACTTCAAGAAGAATGGAAATCAGAAAAGGCTAATTTGGTTAGTGAAAAAGCTGTGATATTACAGAAGCTGAATGATTCTGAAGCGGCAAACAGTCGTCTCAAGGTACTTGATGTGCTAATTTCAATCTACTTAATAATTCTTTGCATAATTTGATAGCTGACATTTTCATTGAATGCCAGTCTGAAATGAAGGCTGAATTGGACCGTTTTGCTCGGGAAAAGAAGGAACTTTCAGAACAAATGCAGGATGTTGAAAGTCAACTTGATTGGCATCGTGCTGAGCGAGATGAGGAGATCACAAAGCTAGCTGCTGAGAAGAGAACACTGCATGATCGTCTTCATGATGCAGAGGTGCAGTTAGCTCAATTGAAGTCCAGAAAGCGCGATGAGCTAAAGGTGACTATCTGTCCTTAGGCTGAAAGAACCTACCTTTTCCTATAGTTGCTATTTAATACGAAATAATTATTATGCTAAGATAGATATTGAATTGCCTAAATAATAGTGGTAGATTGGTAGTCATTCCTGGGAATACGTAATGCATGAAATCAAGTACTTTTACTATCTTTTTTCTACTTGATTGCAATAAAAGTGGTGGTAGTGGTGGAGGTGGGTGCTATGATGTGATCATGGCTTAAATTTTGGCCTACATGTAATGTATTGGTTCTTAAGAGTTATTTGTTTTAGCTTGCAGAACCAATATTTCTTAGTTTTGATGGACCATTATGCATCAGCTAATAGAGTTAATTCAGCTGATGAATTTGCTTATACAGGCCATTATGGCCTAGAAGTCATGAAACTTATTCTAAGGATTATTTTGCTTTGACATACGATAGTTTACTTAGACCTTTTTTGAGACCTTAAAAAAATTATAGTTCCATGATTGTGGCTGTAACTGCGATTCGAAACCAGTACTGATGGGAGATTACATAAAAAGTAGAAAGGAATATGTTTATTGGTTCTATATGTGGATAACAGGTGAATGATTTGTAATGTGTTGACATCACAATCCATGGCTGCTTAAGAGCTATCTCTCTGGCCTTTCTCAATTGGTGTGATTGCTCATTGGAGCTGCTGACTTGAGTTTTATGACATCTGTGGTGAATATTACAGAGAATAGTGAAGGAGAAAAATGCTCTTACCGAACGTTTGAAAAACGCCGAAGCTGCCAGGAAAAGATTTGATGAAGAGTTGAAACGATATGCGACGGAAAATGTGACTAGAGAGGAGATTAGGAAATCATTGGAGGATGAAGTGCGTAGACTAACACAAACAGTAGGGCAAACCGAAGGGGAGAAGCGAGAGAAGGAGGAGCAAGTTGCTCGTTGTGAAGCATACATTGATGGAATGGAGTCAAAATTGCAGGCTTGCCAGGTATTTGCCTTAACTTTTGTTAGATCTTACAGCAACTATGCTCAAATTTTATCATCCTAGTTCAGTGATTCCTATGGTGTAAATGCAATTTCCTTGTGCAATTTGTATGGCTTTATAATAAGATACTTCATATGTTTTATTTTTGCTCCTGCTGGAAATTTTTGTCCGTATAGTCGTATACTATTTTAGGGTGTGATGGTTTGTGATTTGCATTTCCAAAATTCTCTTACCAAAATTTTGGGGATAGATTATGTTAGTGAAACTGTCGTATCCTTGATTATGAGGGGTTGGTATGTAATAATTTCTTAACATGTCGTGTGATGAGTGGAGCAGTGTGCCACCAGCATCAGTGCTCAAAACTCTAGGGATCTTCTGTGATTTCTAGTTTAACCCCCTCGTTACTTCTGCTCCTGAACACATGAAACAATATTGACCAATAATATCTTTAAATCAATTTGTTAAAATTCTAAAATCTTAGTATGTTGTATATGTACATTGAAACTAACCCAATATCATTATTTCTACTAGTAATAAATTTGTAAAAAAGTAGAGAAAGCTAATACAAGTATATGAACAGTGGAAATATTAAAATGTTGCATGTATATATAGAAATTGGGAGTGTTTCAAAGTAATCAGTAAAGGTAGCCATTGCATTTAATTTCTATCTACTGTATATGTTTTACTGGCAGAAACAACTGTTTTGGTATTAATTCTATCATTTTTATGCAGCAATACATCCATACGCTTGAGGCTTCACTTCAGGAAGAAATGTCACGGCATGCTCCTCTTTATGGTGCTGGCTTGGAAGCTCTTTCAATGACGGAGCTTGAGACCTTGTCTGGAATTCACGAAGCAGGGTTACGGCAAATCCATGCCCTTCAACAACAGCGCAAGGGCTCTCCTGCTGGTAGTCCTCTTATTAGCCCACACGCACTTCCACATTCTCATGTATTATACTCCAATGTGTTGCCACATGCTGCACCACCTCCTTCATCCATGGCCGGTAATTTGCCCCCTAATCTCATCACAAACGGTGCTGGGATCCATGGCAATGGCCACGTAAATGGTGCAGTGGGACCTTGGTTCAAGCATTCTTAAAATAGCTGAGGAAGCGGTGATTGCCCAGTTTTCTCGCTGGCCACTCACTCTGAGCTTTTATTTGGTGGTTCTAGGGGAAAAAAGGGGGTTTTATTCATTTTTTTGGTGGTCGATAGTGATTATGCCTCATCTTTGGTGTAACTACTGGCAATTCGGAGAAATCTTAGGGATACATATATAAGGGTATATGAGGATGGCGACTTGTGGGTATAATTTTTTGTATTTGCTAGAGAGGGGGTGAGTCTTTGTGAAACTAGTAGTTGCAAATGCCTACATTATTTCGTTCATCCTTTTTGCCTCAAAAGGTTAATTAAAAAAGCTTCAAAAGTTTTGGTAGCTCCCTATTTCACCCTATTGCTTTGATCAGCCCCTGACTATGAGCTTAGTTGATACAAAGCTATTCATTCATCTTTTGTAGATGGGCAAGCAAAGCCATTTATACAACATTTTTTTTTTTTATTAAATTAATTAATTTATTTATCAATTGTTAGAATCATAACAAGCTTTATTTTAGGGGCATAAATAAAATAAAATAAATAAATATATAAATAAATAAAAGATGCAGAAGAAGATATATTTCCCTTTTATGGTTTGTTATATGCATGTAATGACTTTTTTTTTTTATGCAAATGTAATGATGATGTAGCTGGTAGTCTGGTAGATTAAGTCACGCCAGTCTAACCACCCGAGGGAAGGACCCTCGTTCTATGCAAACCAAAAGGGGTCTATTCGAACACTATTTTCCTCATTCAAACTAGTTTCAGGTCTTTTTAACTATGAGATCACCCAAGGATAACGAACTATCATTAGCGAAAAATTGGCTACAAGCCTACACGGGTCGAGAATGACATTTACAAAACTGAACTTTCAAAATAACAGGATAAAAGTTTTCATTTCAGAAGAACATTATATTGGTTATTTACAGACTGAGCAGAACAAATTTTTTTTCTTCAGTGTGATCTCTACAATAATGAATATGAAGTGCATTTACAAGACTGACAGGGAGTATCAAACAGCAACGCTTCACGCTTGTATGTATGTCCTGTTCTCTGTTGATTAGATCGATAAGAATTTAAAATTATAAAAATTATAAAAAAAAAATCCTATTATATGTTACAGTTATTGTTACCTAAGTTTCAAGTTTAATCTCCTGAGCCATACAGAGTGCAATATCATATGAAAAACATCAAACCTCTTTGCAGGGGTGTTAAGAACAAAATGCTGTCTAACAGCTCTGATCCCTTCAATTAGCCTTCTGTACTTCTCTTCTGGTATTGCTCTCAAAATCTCTTTCAACCTTGGAATGTCTTTGACATCCACCTCTATCGAAAACGCCTCCCATCTCAAAACATCACTGAAAGGAAAAACATAGTTCTTTGACAGTATAACTGGCACACATTCAGCGTATATGGCTTCAACTATTCTTGGGCTAGCAACTTCATGACCACTAGGACAAAGGCAGAACCTAGACTGAAGCATCATAGTGTAGTAATCTAATTCCTTTGGGAGGTATTCGTGGACTTGCAGGTCTGGGTCTTGTCCCTTCCATTGTCTGAGGAGAATAGGCCGTATTGGGCCATGGAGACCACCAGCGAAGAATGCAAGGTATGGCCGAGGAGCAGTTTTTCGAGGGATGGAGATGAGTTTCGGAGAAATGTTGCCATCATATAGGTGGATTTCTGGTAAGCTCACATCCTTTTGTGAGTTGAAGCCTTCAGAGGAGTTTGCATTGCACAATACCCTGATGGATCTGTTGTAGAGGTCTGAGTTTCCCCTTGAGGCATGAGGTCCCTGCAGCAAAGACACAAATTTGGTCAATTAGAGTATAATTCAAGCATAATATATAATCATGATTTGAATTAGCCAATTTCTCATATCAAAATAGTGCTAAGTTTTTAAGAGAACGGGAGGTACCCAATCATGACAAGCCAGCATGAAGTGATCGGCCCCTTGTGTCCGGTTCCAGAAGGGGTGCTTGGTGGAAATCACATTGACATAATCCGAGACAAATTGATTGAGAGGGGTGACATTGTAGGAATTTGGCTTGTAAAGGTACTTCACCATCCATGTAACACTAAAAGGCATGAAATGAATGTGGGCATGTTTGGGATTTCTTGTTCCGAACCGCGTAGTTCCATGCTCAATCTCATGAATAAACCTCCCTTCAATAGTGTAGATGTCCTTACATGGTCCATCATGTACGATAGGTAGATCACCCTCATCGTACACATACACTTTCAATCTCCTTTCCATTTCTAGATAACTCCTGAAATGGGTTGCAATTGCATATATGAAGTGTAAATTAGTTACTTTTCCACCAGGGATAGTTGGGTATGAGTGTACGGCAATCATATGCATTAATCGATGACCCGTCATCAAGATTACCAAACACTTAATTTCTTGTAATTAGTCATAGAGTTTATTCAGGCACACTCAACACAATGCACATCCATGTTGTCACACTTGAGCTTAATTTCAGGCACTTAAGTTATCAGTAATACCTGAGTGTAACCTAGCACTTACGATTGCCATTTATATTTCCTTGCCTAGTGATGTTGGTGATGATGTTAGAAATAACTTAGGGTCACATATCCAAATTATTAACATAAACTTAATCTACAGGCTGGACCAACTATTACTATTCTATTTGCAGATGTAACAAAAGACCTTGATAATGATTGTACGCCGTAAAAGCTAGCAAACTACATCAAAAGTGACCTTGATAATGATTGTACTATATAGCTGTAGCCTGTAGCAATTATATACCATATATAGTAGTCATGAGAAGTATTCATAATGTGGAGAGTCCATATATGCACAACTTTTAGGTAACAAAACCTTACATATTTGATGTTTTTAGCTCGAAATGGTTTATTAACAGGAAAGTCTGTCAATAACCCCCCTCCCCAGGGAAAAAAATGTGCATTAGGATGTTTCTTGCTGAAAAGACAGCAGGGCTTTTAATAGAGGATTCATGGAAGACAATATTAAACAAGACAAATAAGTTGAGATAAACCGCAACAAATTGTGTGTAATACTACTATGATGAACATTTGCAACTAATGAGTAAAAATAATCAATTTTTCATAGCATAATTCTACTACTTTTGCCATTTAATATTGTTAAAGAAGAGATCTAATGTACTCCATAATGGCTTCGTTTCACTGTGTTCTTCTAATCTTGGTTTACCAGACATACAACAGGAGAAGCTCTATTATTAGTTGGCTAAATAAACTCCGAATTTATGAACCAGTATTCTAGCTATAATTTCCCTTGTATGTTCATAAAGAGCCACAAAGGCGATGTATGTGCAAAAACGTGTTTGAGAAGGAGATAATATCAGTTTTCACTTTCGTAAAAAATCAATTGAGTGTAGGCATGAAATGGATGCACATTTGGAGGTATGAGTACCGTGCATAACCCCCATGCGTTAAACAGAAGACTCCTATGCAAAATCATTTTAAAAGGTAAAAAGATGATAACAAGCCTTTATTTGGTGACTTCTAAGCAAAGCACTACTTATAAAAGGCTTAGTTCAGTTAAGCTTTTCGTTCATTTTATTTCCAAAAGAAAAAAGGCACCCCTGAAAGCTAGCATATCATAAGTTTCTCCAAATTTAGAAATCGGTATGGTCTAATGTAGCACAAAGTCATAGAATTGACATGCACTATGCATAGTGTTAATAGTCATCGACATACATTTTCAAATTTCAACAAACATGTGATGTGCTCCATCAAAGATAAATTCAGGGTACATGTGACTGATAATGAGTACATTTGAAAAAAAGACGGCATTGGACAGTGCAGATGTGCCGGTGGCCATACCCTAGCACGAGACGGCATTGTTGGGTTGTTTGTGCAGGGCTAGTTCAAGCCAAATATCCGGCTAGGAATGGCATATGAAGCATACCTAGTTTGTGACATGGACAAAGTCATTTTCTAGGTAATTTTTATAAAAAAAAATAATTATGTAGGAGTATTACACATATTTTCTATTTTTATCAATTTTGCTAATAATTTAATTTAATTTAATTCCTAAAAATTTAATACGTAACGAAACTAATGAATTTACCAAAAATTTAAAAAAAAAAAAATTAAAAAAGTCACAATGTACCCACCATAACAAATAATGTGGAAGGGTTGATTTGGTTTCTCATAACATAATACGAAGTACAATTTTTATGATAAAGTAAGAATTAATCAAAATAAAAACTCCGATTAGGAGTCATAATTACCATCTCATTATAACGTGCGCTAGTAATAATGTGATTACGTGAACCGATCAATAATTTAAAATATCATAACTCCACCATAATTTCATGAACCATCAATTCTACTTTAATTTCTACTCAAATTTTTGTTATAATAACCTGTGCTTAGCAGTAACAGATAGAAAATAAATACAAATTAAAGAAGCAATTTAATAAGTGAAAGAGTAACAGAAAGAGCGTTACTGATGAAAAGCGCGGGGGTTACGGTAGATGAAAGTGGAAGGAGTATTCAAAGTAATTGATCGATTTCTTCTATTCCAAGCTGCCTTTTCTCTTCGAATCGCCGCTCGTGCTCTTGCTAATCCTTCCTCTACTCCTCCCTTCTTTTTTCTCTGAAATTTCACCATTTTCCGATATTATTAAGAAAAGGATACACATTTAATCACGACCTTACGATCAAATAAGGCTTCTTTGAAGAAGCTAAAAGTGAAAATATCAAGTTCAACACGTTATTTTGTTATAAATTCATAAACTAATGCCGATTATATTATATAAATATACTACGTATTTATACTAGCTCTTAGGACCGCATATACAAAAGTCGATTGCAACAAACTAGAGAGAGAAAATGTACTGTGGTTAGAGTTGGACAGCTTAATTCAACATTTTGTCAAAATTTGTGCGCGCCAAAATTTGGTATGCAGAGTTTTGTTTGAGATTTTTTTAACACATTGAGGTTTTTTCAAAGGTTATTACATCAAAATAATCATTATTTTCGTTAACTTTGAAGCTAATTTCAATATTATACATCCTCAGAATTTAGGAAAATATACAATCTCATCACAGCTGTAAATTAAAAGTTTAAAACCGTTCTAACATTAAATTACGTAATAAAATTCAAGATTCTCAATGAAATAGAGTTAAAATTAAAGATCCTTAATTAAAATTAACATAAAAATTTTCGTAATTATACCAGAGTTAGTATTCAAAATATAATTTCAGGTCAAAAAACAGAGCGATTTCGAAATTCTTAAAACAGAGCATCAAATTCTACCAAACAATCAACTTCCTCAAATTCATACAAAAATCAAAATCAATAGCAGAGAGAGATACCGGAGCGTTGCGGAGATGAACGGAGGAGTTGAAGGAGAGAAGAGGCGGAGAATCGGAAGAAGTAGCGACGCTTTGAAGTTGAACGGCGGAGAAAGAGAGCTGACGAAGCTTCGGAGCGCCGCCATTAGAAGCATCGTCGAAGCTCGTCGAAGAATAATTTCTTCCATGGCTTCCAAAGACGATGAAAGTGATGACAAATAAGGAGATGATCAATGTAATAGAGTTAGTTGAAGTGAGAGAAAACCACAATTTCTGCCATTTCTCCATTGATGAGTTTTACTAAGCTTTCTCTCTCTATAATTTTAGTGAGAGAAATGGGTTTGAATGAGGAAAGAGAGAAGGAGACGAAATTTTACATTTATAAAGAGTAAAGAAAAGAATCGGAGTATTTCTTACTCCAATTAAGAACTTGAGAGAGAACAGGTATATTTGCTTTTATTTATTTTCCTTTTTTCTTTATTTTTCTTTTTTCATGTTAGGTGATTTAATTAAAGTGTATTTGTAAAATTGTAACCTCTCTAGTACTCATATTATATTTTGCTTTTGAGATTTAGATAATTACAAAGTAATAAATAAATTTGGAGTACAATAATTTTTTTTTTTATAATGAATTATGGATACTTGATTGATGAGAATATATAGATAAATCCGGTGTTCAATTTAATGTACGTAATTCGAGTAGGTTACGTTTGAAAATGAAGCAGTTAAATTAATTACAATTTGATTTAATATCAAAGGCGAATGTAATAATCTAGATAAGAGCGAGACAACCTCTAATGCTACATACAGAATTTCATAATAAAAATTTGACGAATTGTACGTGCTCCACGGCGATAAAATAGTGTGGGTGTTAGCAGACAGTAGAGGTCTATTAGTCATTTAGTTTTGCATGTACTCTTATAAAGCCTAATAGAAAACCCTAAATGCTTATGCTATGTTTGGATAGAGAGAAATGGAGGGAAAGGAAGAGAAGAGAAATGGAGGGATGCATCCTCTCTTGTTTGGATATTTAATGCAAGGAGGGAAAGGGAGGGAATTGGAAGGATCCAATTTCCTTCCACTTTTAATAAATCAAATCCCTCCATTGTTGGAGAGATTTGGAAGGAAAATGGAAGGTCTCCTTCTCCCTCTCCTTACCTCTCTTTCTCTTCCCTCTTTTTCCTTCTCCTCCCTTTCCCTACACTATTGTTATCCAAACATAATGTTAGTCTGTATTATGGTATTTGAGAATTTAGAACTTATTGTTCCAGCCATTTATGTCACCATAGAAGATACCAATCCAATAATCATGCATTTTATGAAGATTTTATTTCCAAGATTGCATTATATAATATCTAGCTAATAAGCTAATTGAGATATTTAACAATTATAAATAATGATTTTAAGGGAATTTATATATTTTTTAGAAAATACCATTTATAATTTTGATAGACTTGTATTGGCTTTTAGGACCAGTGCGCGTAAATATTAGGTAATTAATACACTCAACATCCTCAAAGAGCCACGACCTAATCCATCGGATTCATTTCTTTGTACATACTCATCACCTAGAGTTTAATAAGTCCGACCTTGATTGGCCTAGTGTAATTGCATACATGCAAGAAGAATGATGATTATAATATAACTCATGCATTTTCAGTATCTTATTTAATTAAATAACACTCTATACTATGCTTTGCTTTTGCTTCAAACAATGGCTATCTTGAGTTATTTCCTTTACTATGCATTAGATTATTAATTTATTATACAATGATATCTTTTCTAGAATATAATACTTGTACGTATAGAAGCTGCATTAGGGGGCGGGAATTATAATATTTATTTGATGTATTTATTAAAGTAAGGTCCATGAAGTTTTAACTAATCATTGTACTTACAGTTGCGCCAGTTTTAGATCGTCGTTAAATATTATTTGCATCTGTTATGTATAAAAATTTTATTTTAAATAATTTTTGACAGAAAGTTTAGTTTTATATAAGAAAATCGGGTGAAAGACAGGGTTATATAGTATAATTTCCTTAAATAATATTTCGTATATAAAAAATTGATATGAATCTTAATACTTTGTATTAATAACTTTAAATTGTTTTTTATAAGTTATGTGTCAATTTTTTTAGGAATGGAGAGAATATGAAAAAAAGGTGGGTTTAAGTGGACTGTTGGGCTTTTTTATGTGGGCTTTTAGGGTGATTGTTAATTCTAGTCCTTATAGGACTATAGTATAGGTTTGTTCTTATCTTTACATTTATATTTATAATATAAAAACAAATAGATAAATATTGTAATAATCACATTAATTTGATTTTGGTTTTCTTAATTTTTTTCATCTGTTCGAAGTAATTGGTTTCTTATAGTTTTGTTGGAATAATAGTTGCTGTTCTGGATACCGATTGCTCTATTTTATTATTCAGGAATAGCAATTGGAGTTTCGATTTTGTTATATACAGATTATTATTAGAATTAAACAAAATCAAATTAATTTGTTTTTTTAGTCTAAGTTTGATTTTGAGGCTCTTAATTCATTCATTCTGTGGATGGCTGATTGGTCTGAGTTGCCCTCTGATATTCTCGGTGTAATTGCATTGAAGATTTTATCTATTTCTCTTCGGTTTGTCATTCGTGGAACCATGTATTCTCCATGGTTAAACCCGAGTGGAGTCGTCACGCACGTAAACCAACACCACCTTGGTTGCTGCTAGCCGAGCCCTAGCCGGGTAATAACGACACTACTAAGTTGTAGGAAAATATTCAGTATCAATAAAAATAGGTGCTATGAAATTATGCTTCCTCAGAAACGGTGTTGGGGTTCGTCATACGGTTGGATTGTCATGTTTGGTTCTGATGAAGAAATTGAATTATTTAATCCTATTACTTAAAAACCCTGCCAGATCACCCACTAACTGAAGATCATGATAATGATGCTGGTTTTGATCGGGATAGTTGGGTTCTGAAATACTTGGTGTCTAACATCTTTGTATTCAACATGTCTCGAAACGACAACAATGTTGATGACTTTGTTGTAATGGTGATTCATCAGCCACTTAATCACTTATCGTTTGCGAGCATGGACACCAGTACTAACAAGAGGAACAACACCCAACCAGGTTCATCAAGTAATGTATTGGAAGGGATTAGTGCTGATTTTGTATAAAGACGGAACGTTTGCATACTTTGATATAAATTCGACTCTAATTGGTAGTGCTACTCCTGTCGAGGCTAAGAATTATTATAGCTTGGTTCCGGTCAGATTTGTTGGTATAAGTCAAGCCGGATTGGGTGATGGGACTTTGTATACGATGGAGTTAAATGGTGATTTACTTGCAGTCGTCCGTCATAGAGAGCAAGCTTCACGATATGTGGACGAGGATGGTGTTCATCACGACAGGCTTTTGGATTGCGGAAATTGGTATCGTACCAATTTTTTTGTGGGAGAGAGTTAAGGATTTGGCTGAATTTGTGTTATTTGTAGGTTATAACTATGCTTCTGTTGTTCATATATCAAAGGCTCCTAATTGCCAACGGAATGCTATCTCCTTTTTTTACGATGAATATTATTACTATTGCATTCAAGGATGTCAAGAATCTCGTGGCCATGAGTTTAAAACGGGTCTAAAAGGCTTGCACAAACACACTATTTTTTATTACTATTAATTAATGGGTTCCTCAGGTACCCCTGAGTTTAAGCCTAATTCCTACCTATTTGTTATTTTTTTTACCTGAGGTACCCCTGAAGTTTGATATTTTTGCCTGAGTACCCCTCCCAATGAGGGGCATTTGAATAAATCACCATTTTTCAGGCCTATACAACATTATTTTATTTTTTTGCGTGTACCCACTTTGCTTACCTTCAACCCTATCCCCCATAAAAGAAATAACAGAAAATTTTCTAATGATTACTATTGAATTGACCACCTTATATTTTGATGATTGACCTACATAAAACAAACTTTGACTAACGACGTTTATGAGTCTTGGTTAAAACAGAAGATTCAGGTTTGAAGTTAAATGTTCTGGAGTAGGAACAACAGAGTTTGGAAGACTTGATGATGAATGCAAACTTTCAAGATGTCCTCACAACTCTATATTCTTAGTTACTCAGTGTACGAACTTAAGAAACAAAAGTGTTGGAAGGAATTAAGAAGAAACTCGAAGTTCCTGAAGAATGACTCAGAAAGTTTTAAACGAAAGTTTTAAAACGGTTTTCAAAAACCCTTAATTTAAGGAAGTGATAAAAATCAATTTTGAAAAAGATTTAAAAAGATTTTATAAATAAATAAATAGTTCATTAATTTAAAAAGATAAGTTTTAAATTAATTAATTATTTATGTTTTAATTAATAAATAAATAATTATTTTTTTAAATAAATAATAATTATCTTTTGAATAAGTCTTTAACTGATTTTTAACTTGGTAAATATTGGCTGCTTAAATTAAGGAGCACGTTGAATTTAGGAGTCAAGCTAGGGAAATCATGTTCCTAAATTTCCTCTGCCTACATCCCAACTTCTCAGTCAAAGAGAAAGTGGGATTAAGGGGGAAGTGGGAACGTGATGGAAGCTTGGTTTAACTCCTTATAAAAACAGATCAACGTTAAGTTTTGAAAGCGTAGAAAAACAATTTTAAGTATTCTGAGCATAGAGTTTCAAAGTGTTTAAAAGAGAAGTTCCTTCCATCCTTAGTCTCTTAAGTTCTTTAGGAAATACTTGTAATCATTGTGTAATTGGGTTTGGGTTGTGAGAGTTGTAAAGTGTGAGACTTGAGAGAGTTGTTTACACTGTACAAGTGATTCGGAGTAGAATCACAAAGTGTGAGAAACTGTGATTGAGGGATCACAGTTGGGTAACGTATTAGTGATTGTAAATCATTTTTACAGAGTGAATTTATTCATTGCCTATATCAGTGTCTTTTCTCTTAGTAGTAGATTTAATTCCGCAAAATTTACCATAATCTACATACACTACAATTCACCCCCCCTTGTAGTATACATTATTCTATCAATTACTTATATTTAAAGAAAATCACTTAAAACATTTAAAATCCTATAAAGATGAATTCAAATTTACATTATTTCTTTCCTGGAGATAGGATTGAAGGTAAGCAAAGTAAAGTACAAGCGAAAAAAGTAAAAAAAGATGCAAAGACCCAAGAAATGGTAATTTCCTCATATACCCAATAGTTTAGGAGTACCTGAGGTAAAAAAAATAAAAAAAAAATAACAGAGAGACTCCTCATGAATTAAGCCTAACCTCAGGAAAAACCCATTAATTAGTTAATTTATATATTTATTTTATTTATAAATGGGTTGGACCGGGCTGAGTTAGATTGGTTTAACTTTGATAAGGTTTCTCAAATTTAGAATTTGAATTTCGGAATTTTTTTTTCTTTTTTCTTTCCCCGCTGTTCTTAGATGTTTTTTTTTTTTTTTTTTTTTTTTTTTTGTGTGTAAAATGTTATTTGGGGCATGATACAAGTTGAATATGTATGAATCATGGAAGTATGTTTTACTTTCAAGTATTAAAAAGGCATGTATTTAATAAGCAAGGTTTTGAGAAATCCAATTCGTAATCGTAGCACTTGCTCATTCCTAACCCTAATTAAAGTTTTCTTTCTTTTGCATTTCCGATCGATTCTGATTGTTTCTTCATCTTTCTCTACCAAATTTAACCCTAAACGGTTCTGCAGGAATCAACTCTCACCATGGTGCAAACAAGATCATCATCTAAGAAGAATACAACTAATACCAAGTAAGTTTCCTTCTATTTAATACTTAGAATTCATCTCAATTTTGTTCCTGAACTGAGAATTTTTTGTTTTAGTTTTAGTTATTTTTATTTTTTATTCTTACCTTTTGTGATTAAGTGTTGAGGTGAATCGGGATGTTGCTGAGGCATCAAACAAGAACACCATGAATCAGAAGAAAAGGAAGACGACTGCTGAGGTTAGTTTTGTTTTTCATTTTTTTTTTTTTATAATTTTGTTAAATCTTATTTTATATGTATGTTATGGTATGATATGATATGATTATCAGTCTAGTGGTATTGAAATATAATTCTCTTGTCACTTAATTAAGATTGTGTTTCGGATTGAATTTCAGCATTTGAATTATCTATCGGAGTTAGTTTCAATTACTAATTCCATGTTTTGAAATCATAAAAATGGAATTTCACATGTTCTTCTTTTCTTTTTTTTAGTTGGTTTGAAAATGTATGTTTCAGTTTATTAATTAGTTGTAACTTGGAAAATTTTCAATTGATAGCTTCACAAAAAAGATAGTGGTGATAGAAAATTTCCTGCATCTTTTACTCAGTTCCATTTGTCATTACTACTAATTTTCAGAATTCCATCTTGAAGCCAATTGAAGCAAGCAAGAAAACAACTAAGAAAGTAGTAAATGCTCAGTAAGTTTTTTCCATTTTTTTTTCAAAAAAAAAAAAAAAAAATCGATTCGATGAAATTTAGTCTCTGTTTGTAATGTACGAGTGAATATTTAATTTAATGATTTAGGGATGCTGGGACATCCAAAAATTCCAAGTCGAAGTCTGTTGTGGATCCATATGAAGGCAAAGTAATTTTGAGAAAAACAACAAAGGCGGATATTGCTCTAGATGTGTACATGTAACATTCTTGTTTTTCATTTCTTTGTTTGTTTTATTTCTCGATCTGTGTACGTTCGTTTTGATCTTATTTATTTATTTATGCTTAATAACAGGAAGGAGTATTATAACGAGTACATTAAGAATCATCCTGGTGAAACAAAGGTAATTTGTCTTTATTTTTTTATTATTATAACAAGTGTTCTTTGCTCCAATTGTTTTTTTCCTCCTTTCTGATAAACTTTGATTCTTGTTTGATTGCTGTTGGATGTCATTAAAGCTACCTAGAGAGGAAATTTCGGCGGGACAAAAAAAGTTTCGTGAACTGGTGAAGACGGTATGCTATTATGCTGTAAAACCCCACACATACAACAGATATCAAATATGTTGCTTCTTTTCTCTTCATCAAGTTGATGGATCATAAATATTCAGATTTGAAATTCCTACTACTTGGTAATTAATTTATTATTATTGTGTTTCAGACAAATTATTACATTGTTAAGAAGTGTCTTAAGAAGCTCAAGGATGATGAAGCTGCAAGGATGCTAGAAATCAGCGATCTGTAATTGCACACTTTTTGGTCTCTTTTGCTGCTGCTACAATGGGCTTGTAGTTTGGGTTTGTAATGACTTTCTGCGTGCGCGGATTATAATGATGTGACAATCTCTTTAATTTTAAAATAGCCCAGCTCTGAATTGAAGGCTTTTGAACTTTGAATACTGTATGGTGCTAATATGACTTATTGTTCTTTGTTTTTGGCTGGTGGATTTATGTATTTGGAAGTAAAATATGGGTATTTGAGAGGTCTTCTATATATGAAATGGGAGTTTCTTGGAGACCAGTTTCGAATATCCTTGTGTGGAAACTCACTCAAAATTTAATTTTCCAAATAATTTTCTCAATTTCGCTTTAGGTTTGACATTAACTTATTGGCTTTTTTATATTTCTTGTGTATGTGCCTTAGGTTTGGCTGTATGATGCGTCATTACTGGCCATCACTGAATGAGTTTCCACACAATGATATTCGAAACTGATGGCTATGTTTAACATGACATCCGGATTAATTACACCATCTGTTTGGGTCCAATTTAGCCAAAATTGGGCCTGAGCACTAAATGATCCAATTAAAAGCCCAAGGTCAAGGTTCAACTCTCCAATTGCTCAAAAGTCAAAGGTCAGCCCACAAAGTAAGCCAATTGGGCCAAAGCCCAACCTCTCCATGTATGATGAGGTATAAAAGCCATCATATTGACACATTCACGAGGACATTGACGTTCAGATTCATATGCTCATTCTTGCATTCAGAAATATTCCACAAAAGCCTCAAGCTACAAACTCTCTTGCATAGTGTCTTCCTTTTACACATTGTACTGACTTTAGCATCGGAGGGGCCTTCCTCGGAAACACCCCCGAGGCTAGTTTACGTGTGTTCACTGTGCAGGAAACCTTCGGCCCAACACAACTTGGATCGAATCCAGTCTTCTCCATTTCAGCGGACCTTCGGCAAGGTCCCATTGTTTTCAACCGAAACAATTTGGCGCCGTCTGTGGGGAAGACTTTCAAATATCTTTAAGCCAAATTCCTAACCAAGATCATCTTGCAATTATCTTAGCAGCCATGGCTAAGAACCGCAAGAGCAAAAGCCTCCGTCAAGGAGCGGGCGAAAAGCCTGAAACCCCTACACCATCGCCCTCGCCGGACCGGAACTCTCCCAAGGGTGCCGGCTCGGGGGGAGGATCATACAAGGAGGATTCCCTATCTCCTACAATGCATGACTCTCAATATAGGCCGGACCACTCTCGGTCTAGCAGGGGTCAGTCTGATCATAGGACATATTCAGTGTCCCAAAGCCAACCATCGGCTGCACGGCCTCATTCCCACACTCGGCCGGGGACCCCTTTGACGGGGCCCAGTTCGGAAGAGGTGGCAAGAGCGCTGGCAGTACTCATGGAGGCAATGAGGGCACAGAATATGCCACCGCCTCGTGATCGAACTCCTCCGCATACCCGGCATCAGCGGAGGAAGTTAGACCATGACGGTGGGAAGCTTCCTTCCTTCCGGGAACTGGAAGAGTGGGAGGAGGATTCTTGGAAAAATGAAAAACAGAGGAAAAAGAACTCTCAATTATTTAAAGGATCCTCATCCTCAAGACCAGCAGCGCATAAGAGCAGCAGCTCAGCTTCTCGGCCAGAATCTACTCGCCGGGAACCAGAGACTGCTCGCAGAAGCGTCCTTGACCGACTCGGCGGCCAGGAACCGAGCGTGCGTAGTCGTCTCTCGTTCCCTGCAGCCGAGGCCCAGACTTCCCAGCCAGGGACGAAAACCACTCCTACCTCTCTAAGAGGGCGGAGCGCGGTCCCTTCGGCCAGGAACAAGGGCAAGGCCATTATGCTACCCGCTAGTTCACCATTCGAGCAATGGATACTGGAAGAGCGCGTACCCACAGTTAAAATACCGTCGCATATCACGTATGACGGGACCACGGATCCGAAGGACCACGTGGCCTCGTATGAGACTCATATGCATCTTTGCCCCAGATCCGAGGCGACTTGGTGCAAATATTTCCCAACCACTCTCAAGGGGTCGCGCAAGCGTGGATCTCCAAGGGAGTAAGGCAAGGCTCCATAACAGGTTGGGATGATCTGTCCTCCAAGTTCAGGAGCAAGTTTTCCACGGCAAACCGCCGAGAGAAGACTACCGCAGAGCTCATGAGTCTGCAACAGGGGGAAACCGAAAGCCTCCGAGACTACCTGACCCGTTTCAGTACCGAGTCATCAAGCGTCTCCCAGCTGGACCAGGGGCTAGCTGTTTTTGCAATGCAGAATGGCCTTCAGCCAGGAAAATTCCTAGACTTCATGGTCATGCATACCCCGCAGACCTTGGAGGAAGCTCTTAGTGCTTCGGATAAGTTCATCCGAGCCGAAGAATGGAATAAAGCAAAAACCCAACCTCAATCCGGGGGAGGGAAACAGAGGCAAATACCCTTGTCTGAAGGCCAAGGCCATAAGGCAAAGGGAAAATCAAAGGCTCCGGAGCCATCTCCGGCCAACGACCTAAAGAAGGACAGGTTTGCCTCATACACAGGCAGATACGAGTCCTACACTCCGCTCTCTCTTCCACGCGCCAAAATTTACAGTGTGACGAAGGAGGAGCAGAGTTACCGAAAGCCGAGACCACTCCCAGAGTGGTATCGGCGAAAAAATAAAAATCAGTGGTGTGAGTTCCACGAGTCTTCGGGCCACAACACTGAGGAGTGTATCCAGCTGAAGGACCAGATAGAGGACATGGTCCGGAAGGGATACTTGAAAAAATACATCGCGGATCACCGCGAGAAAAAAGAATCCGAGAGGCTAGCAAAGGACCCTCGGCAGGACCTTGATTTCCCCCGGAAAAACAGTAAAAAACCGGAGGGGAAATTCCCTCCGATCAATGTTATCTCGGGAGGAATATACTCTCGGAGGGAGCACAAGCGTCACTTTAGAGCTTTGACTCACCAGGTGAACAACGCTGACATTCAATCTCCCCAGTCGCCGGTGCCGAACATGACGTTCACAGCCGCCGACTGCAGGGGGATTACGTTCCCTCACGAGGATCCGTTGGTGATCATCGCCACGGTGGCCAACCACGACGTCAGTAAGGTCCTTGTTGACGGTGGCAGCGGAGCAAACATTCTGTTCCGAAAGGCCTACAACCAAATTAAGCTGAAGCCCAAGCACCTTACGCCGGTACCCTATCCGGTATCCGGGTTCAATGGGGCTTCAACTTATCCAGATGGGAAGGTGACACTTCCTGTCACCATCGGTTGCGATGAGGCAGCCCGGAACGTCATGATTGAGTTTTTGGTCATCGACGCTCCTTCAGTGTACAACGTGATTTTGGGGAGACCCATAATTCACGAGATCCAAGGGGTCGTCTCAACTTATCATCAGCTGATGATTTACGTCTCAGACGCCGGCTTCCCCGAAAGGATACAGGGCAACCAAAAGGACGCCCGAAGGTGCAACTACCTCAAGCCATCCAATAGTCGCCCAGATAACGACAAGGATGAGGAGGAGAAAGAAAAAGAAAGAGAGCCAAGCGCAAAAAAGCCGAAAGGCCTAAGTGCTTCGGCCCAAGGATCCGTGCCCAGAGAAAAAGGTCCCGAAAGGGAAAAGGTTGACTCTTCAGCTGAGCCGCAAGACTCAGAGAGCCAGCCGAAGAGCACAAAGACTGGGACACCTGCTGACATTGGCAGCAGACCAGATTCTGAAGAGTCCAGTCCATCGGCAATGGACATGGACCAACAGACTGAAACAGTTGAGTTGGCCGAAGGAGATGCTGAGAAATGTGTAACAATCGGGATGGACCTTGATCCTAACACCCGTTGTGAACTTATTCAGCTCCTTCGGGATAACAGAGATGTGTTTGCTTTCTCGGCAGCTGATATGCCCGGGATAAGTTCAGACCTCATCTCCCATAAGCTTAATGTTGACCCAGCGTGTCGACCAGTTAAGCAAAAGAAGCGGAATTACTCCGCCAATAAGAACCGAGACATCGCAGCCGAAGTCAAAAAATTATTGGAGGCAGGGTTCATTGAACCTTGCCAATATCCGGAATGGCTGGCAAATGTGGTGATGGTCCAGAAGCCCAATGGTACCTGGAGGATGTGCGTTGACTTCACGGACCTAAATAAGGCTTGTCCAAAGGATTTCTATCCCTTGCCAAGAATCGATCAGCTAGTCGATTCGACAAGTGGCCATGCCTTGCTTAGTTTCATGGACGCATTCTCGGGGTATCATCAGATCTTTATGCACCCCGACGATCGAGCCAAGACAGCATTCGTCACGAACGCTGGGGTGTATAATTACAAAATGATGCCTTCGGATTGAAAAATGCGGGGCAACCTATCAAAGGCTGGTGGATCAAGTTTTCGCCGATCAAAAGGGCCGAAACATGGAAGTCTATGTTGACGATTCGATCGTCAAAAGCAGAAAACTAGAGGACCATGTAAAGGACCTGGCTGAAACTTTCGCCACCTTGAGAAAGCATCAAATGAAGCTGAATCCGAAGAAGTGTGTCTTCGGCGTGAAGTCAGGGAAATTCCTGGGTTTCATGGTCAGCAAAAGGGGGATTGATGCCAATCCCTCTAAAGTCAAAGCGGCGCTCGACCTTCCTGAGCCGAAAACGAAGCGGGATGTTCAGCGGCTCACCGGAAGAATGGCAGCCCTCTCGAGGTTCATTTCCAGAGCTTCGGATAAGGGGTTACCCTTCTTCAAAGCCCTGAAACTCCCGAAAACAAAAGAGCTTGTTTGGAGGAAGAGCAAAAAGACGCCTTTCAACAGCTTCGGGAGCATCTGGCTCAACTCCCAACGCTGGCTAGCCCAGTTGAAGGAGAAACTCTATACCTATATGTGGCCGTTAGCCCAGCCACCATCAGCGCAGTATTGCTGAGGGAAGAGAGTAAGAGTCAGCAACCGATTTATTTCGTCAGTCATACACTGACGGATGCCGAGACCCGCTATCCTCTACTCGAGAAAGTTGCTTTCGCGGTAGTAGTAGCTGCTCGGAAGCTGAGGCCCTATTTTGATTGCCATCAGATAGTGGTCTTAACTGATCAGCCATTGGAAAAAGTTCTTGGCAAGGTTGAAAAATCCGGTAGGCTAGCCAAGTGGGCTTTTGAGCTCACCGAATTCAGCATCAGCTACCGTCCGAGGGCTGCCATTAAGGCTCAAGCCCTGGCGGATTTCTTGGCCGAATGCTCATACCAAGAAGTGCTGGACAATGAAAAGAAAGTCTGGACCGTGTTTACGGATGGGTCTTCCACCGAAAACGGTTCGGGGCAGGAGTAGTGATAACTTCTCCCGAAGGCA